TTACGTGACATCTGGCCTTCTTTACAGCAGCGAATGTTGGACGATTACCTCAAAGATGAAGAAGAGACTCAAGGCGACGGTGATGTAGTTCTACAGAAGGATGTTAAGGATATCATGGACTGAGTGTGTGAGCGACGATGAGGTCTTTGGGAGGTTGCAAACAAGGAGGACACATACTTAACATCAGGAAGAGGCAGCTGAAGTTTCTAGGACACATAATGAGAAATGAGGGCCTAGAGAATCTGATACTCAAGGGTCGAATAGAGGGAAAGAGAGACAAGAGAAAAACAACTCATGACATACCTGGCGGTCTTAAGCAAGTGGATGACAGAACGTGGTCTGGGGGAGATGGCAGAGGGAAGGGACTTGTTGAGAGATGCAAGGGATAGAGTGAGGTGGAGAGCCATGATCGCCTATGTCCTGAAAGGACATGGTGCATAAAAAAATAAAGAAAGTTTGATACCACTTCGTAACTTAATTTGTACTTTTTGCATGTATTCCCCATCATTATATCCTTAAACTGTTTTTCTTTTAATTTATTTTTATCCTTCTTCTTCTTCATCTTCAGACTATGGAGTTAACAATATCCTTTACCAGCGAGGAATTTATCCATCAGAATCCTTTACCCGAGAGCAAAAGTATGGTCTCTCATTGTTTGTATCAACAGTGGAAGAATTACAGAAATACATGAGCAACATCATGACAAATATCAAAGGTGATTGTAAAGAGAATTTTTTTTTTTTTTTTTTTTTTTTTTTTTTTTTTATTTTTTAATCCACCCCAAGCAAGGTGATAATGCCACTAAGACTAAAGGAGCTAATGGGGATGAAAGAGAATGAAAAACTTTACAAAGAACCTGGAACCCAATCCTAAATAGGAAAGAAGGGATAAACCTTTACACTTGTTCAAAAGAACAGGGAGTAGAGTTTATTTGGTGTTTCTGCTTTTGTTGTTATTAAAAGAAATATTAAAATGGTTCTTGCCTATCAACAACTTCCATTCCAGGATGTTATTTGGGATTAACGAATTGCAGTTTATTTCTTCCTTCAAAATGTTAACCGTATCTCTTCAGGATGTAGGTAATCATGACTCTTCATAGATTTATTTTCTTTATCTTTGAATTGCCATGAATTCTTTGAAAATACAAAAAATAAAAAAAAGATATAGATGTAAGTAGACCACAGAATACCACAGTTGGTACACTTGTATGTCTTTTAATCTACCCACTGGTGTGTCTACTTACATTTATATCTTGGTCAGCCTAAGAACTTTCCAGTCGATCGTCGTATTTCTGGTGATTTTAGATTAGGTGTGGCACAAGGCCGAAATTGTGGGGAATTCAGTGAGGATCGAATTCACTGCACAATCGTAATTGTTCTAGCAAGACAAGCTTGATAACCATTGAGATGTCACAAAAGATTCTCTAAGCATAGCTTAGGTGTGCCACCCAGTGAGGATCAAACTCACTAATCAGTCGTAATTGATCTAGACAAGACAAGCACGCTAAGCATTACACCACTTCGAGGTGCTCCGACCTTCATATGTGTGTGTGTGTGTGTGTGTGTATATATATATATATATATATATCTCATAAAATCATCAAAAAACAAAACATTTCTTCCTTAAAAATATTAACCATATCTCTTCAGGATGTAGGTAATCATGACTCTTCATAGATTTATTTTCTTTATCTTTGAATTGCCATGAATTCTTTGAAAATACAAGGGTAGACTGAAGAAGATATAAATGTAAGTAGACACACCAGTTGGTAGATTAAAAGACATACAAGTGTATCAGAATACCACAGTTGGTACACTTGTATTTTAGTCTACCAATTGGTGTGTCTAATTACATTTATAACTTGGTCAGCATGCAAGGGGTTACAGAGAGTTAGAGCTAGAGCAAATAGGAGTGATAGAGGAAAGGATGAAGAGAAGGATAGGGGATAGATCAGGGCAACTGGAGATGTCGATTGACATTACATTGGAATAGTTGGAGATTATAGCTATTGGGGAAAAGGGAGGGAGTTCCACAGGCAAGATGTGCGAGACGTGAAGCTATTGGAGTAGAAGAGATGGCTACATTTAAGTTTCGACAGTGAAAGGGTGTGAGTGAGATGCCAGCCTAGTAGAACGCTTAAATTCATGAAATCTGGGAACCAGTGAAAGCTGCTCATCGGAGCAGTTACCATGAAAGTATTTGTAAAAAAGACGGAGGGAGGCAACGGCACATCTATGAGAGAGCAACTACAGACGAGATGCCAGATCAGGGCCAATTACATTGCATATCCGTCTTTGGATCTTATCAAGAACCTTGAGACAAACAAGTGTGGCACCAGACCATATATGGCAGCAATAAAATATTTAAATAAATTTTTAAAAAATCAAAAAATGAAACAATTGGCATAATAAAGTATGTTCAGCAAATGGTCTTTTTTTCAAATTCCTGTTGACAGGCGGAACTCGTCCGTCGTTTATTGTTTTCTGCTCCAACACAGATTTTGAATTCAGTCATGTTTACATCTGTGCTCTGCTGTTGACATTGTTTCAATAGTGATTTAGAATACATTTTCGCCTATGGCTCCAAAGAAAGTTCCCAGTGCAAGTGCTAATGCTAAATGTAAGGCTATATCACTGGAAGATGAGGTGGAAATTAACTATTTTATTCAGAATATTGGACATACATATCATAAATACTGTAATAGGCAATGGGAAGTACTTACTTACATTTTTTGTATAGTTGTTTTGACTTTGGTCGTTTTTCGACCTAAGTCATGATCTCTGGAACCAATTAACAACATAGGGTGAGGCATCTGTCTATATTTCTGAGATGAGGTATTATGTACATTATTTACATTATTCGAACTATTGTCCTCATCTTTGTCGCCATATTTATTACAACGGCCTTCTTCAGGTGGTTGGAATGTCATACTTAACCCTTTATTTCACTCACTGGGGTAGACTGTTCTAGTTCCATGTGCCATGTTTAATGGATGTCAGTTATCTCCTGTTAATTTCCCTCTGAAAGTTCTCCACTGCCTTAACTGGGTATTGAACTCACATTCTTTGGGTCCTGTCACTAGATCTAACCAATGCCTTTAATCACTGTGCCATGTATCCATGGCACAGTGGATAAAGGCGTAGTAAATATGGCGACAAAGATGAGGACAATAGTCCGAGTAATGTAAATAGGGTGAGGTATAACTGTATTTATACCGTTTGATGGAAAGGGAAGAGGAGGATGCATTCATGCCTTTCCTAAGGGAATTAGTGCATGCAATAAACCAGGCTAGAATATGAACTCTGTTTGTTGATTCCACTTTTCTTTTTGCTACTTGTACATCTGTAATGCCTTGTAGTACATAACGGTACCACAGACACTCGGGTAAACGCCTTATGGCAATCAAAACTCTGAGAACAAAGTTCAGTAAAGCAGCAGGTTTATTGAAAGCCAAAAGGGTGAAACTAGAAAAAAAAGAAATAAATACAAACTTGAGATGAATTCAGTCAGAATAACAAAATAAATACAGAGATAAAAATAAAGAGAGTTTTTTTAAGTCTATATAAAGGAGTGCATTTATCTCTAGCCTCTTTTACAGATTTTCAACTCTAGCATTAAGATGTAGTTTACGTACAGTTGGAACACAGCTACTAGACATGCATAGATTTTTCTGTCTCTCTTTTGACTTTTAAAATCTTTCACACGTGTCTATCACGTACACAAATTCCCCGCACAAACTTATAGCTAGTTTAAATGTTTTTCTATATAACTAGTCTTTAAATATTTTCTTCTTTCATTGTAATACTTTTTCTGTCAATACATGCAATTAGTTTTCATTTGTTTTATATTGTTTTGTGTTACTCATTTTTTACTTGGACTCACATTGATTCCAGTTTATTGTTATGGGGGATAAAAATATTCCAGGAGACGTGTTTCAACTTAAACACATCAAGCATTCTCGTAACTCATTAAACAAATCTTCTTATCAGACATTAAGGGAGACCAATGCTTAGGGAGGAAAAAATTTAAGAAGCCACTATTTAGGGGTAGAATTAAGAGGATAGAAAAATAAGGACCCCATGCCTTCAGCCCATTCTAGTGCTTTCTAAGGACTAAGTGGTCAAAGTTTTGACTGACCTAAAATGTACCTAAAGTAAATAGTGAACAAGGAGAAATAAAACAATAAACATGCTGTACTGTGGTCACAGAATAACTTCTTTTTTTTTTTCTCTTTTTTTTTTTTTTTTTTTTTTTTTTTTTTTTTTTTTTTTTTTTTTTTTTAAAAAAAAACTCCATCAGTTGACTAGTCAATCCAGCCAGATGTTGGGACCACAAGTGCAAGAAAATTTAGGCCTTAAAGATCTCTTTTAATGAAATTTTGGCAATGTTTAACCTTCATGCCTGTAAAAAAAAAGATATAACGTAGTTTGTCAAAAGTACAGTTATTTAACACTGCTATTAATTTTTTTTTTTTTTGACTCCTTTGTCAGTGGAAGATTATAAAAATATGTGAATCAAGTACAATATGATATTTATTATTTACCATTTTATAAAGGAACAAATTTATAATTCAAAAATTTATTAAGAATTACAAAATTATCAAAATATATAATCCAACAACAATGCAATATTTGTAAAAAATTACAGATATTACAGGAAAGCTTTGTCTATTCAGTGAATTGGAGATACATACTCAAAATAGTGTTTGTGGTCTCACCTAAAATCTAAAATTAAAAGAATACTTGCATCAGAAGAAGAGATGCTCTCAACCTATTTTAGTGAATTTATGCAGTGAGAGCAAATGAAAGAAAGCATGGAAAATGCATTTTTTTTAAGATTTATAATTACCGTTATTCGTAGTTAATTGTTTATTTAAGTTCAGACATTTTTATAAATTTATGAATAAAAAAATTCTTTTCATCTTTTATTTCTTTGCAAAGTGGTAAATAATATTTCTTTTTTTTTTTTTATAATTTTGTAATTATAAAATTATTTTTGTAAATAAGCAATCTAATAAATAGTGTTTAATATCTTTGTTATCAATTCTTAAGAATGAAGAAAATGTATAAATCTACTTTGATATGTTTGGGTTGTATTAAAATTCTAATCATCACTTTTTAAAATGATAAACATTGCTGAGGGTATTAAAAAAAAAGTGTAATAGCTGTGTATAGAGGATAACCGTCCTTTTGATAAAGTTAAACATTACTAATGTTTCTTTAACCTAAGATAGGGATTGTCAACCTTTTGCAGACAGTAGGGCAGAAAGCTATGCAGTGTCTCAGAAGAGAGCCAGGATATCAAATGTACTATAATAAATTGCCTTGACCTCAGACTGCCATATCCAAAAGGCTGCCTTGGTCTGGAGGTTTAAAGGAGAAAAAAAAACAAAAAAACAAATTAATGTTATATTATTTGAACAAGGTTCCTTATTTTACTGCAGAATTAACAAGATAACAACTAGCAGAAAAAACAAAAAAAAAAATGAAAATTACTTATTACAAATGAAATACAGTTAGAAATATCAAATTTAATGAGACACCTGTTTCTGCTTATTGTTCAATAATTCTCTACATCAGGTGAAATATTTGTCGATGACAGGAGCAAAACCTCATCCAGTTGGTCATCACCTAATGTTGTTGTTAAACAAATTTTAGTCAATTTCATTTTCAAAAAAAGTTGTTCACAAACATATGTACTTCCAAATAATGATACCATCATTTTCACATTATTCAATTGGCTTTTATATTTTCCACTTGGCAAGACATATTTCTTACAGAAGTCAGCAGTGGATTCTGAATTAAATTTTGGTTTAAAAACTTTGTTGCATTGTAAATTGATTAACTCCAACTGATATTTTTCTCCAACTAGCTCCACAAATTAATTAGATAATTAGTGTGCAGGAATTGGCAGGCCGGACAAAAATCATTCACAGGATGGATGTGGCTGACCTCTGACCTAAGATTTTTTTTTTTTTTTCATCATCCTTACTCAACCAATGTTGTCCATGTAATCATATTGGAGATAAAATTTAATTCAATTCTAATTATGAAATTAAACAATTATTGTTTACTGTCTATCCTTTTGTAGAATGGCTTATAGAGATGGTGTTGGAGAAACTTGTTGTTGTGATCAAATGTGCAGATACCAATGAAATATTGGAAAGATGGCAATTTGATGTCGAAGATGACACTGGAAACACAAAAGAAAACAGGTAATGTGCATTTTCAACTGAGTTTGTGTTGTGCATATATTGAATGCATGTGTTGTTCTTGTCAGTTTGAAAACTTGTTTCTAATTTTCATATTTTCAGTAAACCAAAAACAAAGACAGAAAAAGAGATTCGTGATGAGATTGGAGCTGTTATGCGACAAATAACTGCAACAGTTACTTTCCTGCCTTTATTGGAAACACCTTGTGAGTTTGTTTTCCAATTTCGCATTGTGTTTATCAAAGTCATTTCTCAGGAATTAATGAATTTTATTTTTTTTAATCCAACATTATTTCTTATTATTCTAAACGTTAATTTTTTTGTGGATACACATGTTTGAGTAGACACACTGCATTTGTTTAATTATTTTAAACAGTATGACTTATCTCTCCAGGCCTGTGCATTTGTGAAACTTAAAGTTCTGTAGTCAAGCAGTATAAAGCATACCAGATCAGATGGTGGTTACCCTTACACATGAGGATGTGGGTTCAAAGCCTGACGGAGAGCACATTTCTTTTATTAAGTTTCGCAAATGTACAGACCCAAAGATGTAATTCATACTGTTTAAAATTTAAAAAAAAACTGTCTATTCAAACATAGGTATCTACAAAAATAGCATTTATCAAAGTAACTGCTGTACATAACTATTGTTGTGTGAGCGGATTCAGTCACACTAATGAGGTTTATAATGCAAGCTAGTGTTTCATCGTTACCAGCAATACATTTTTGTTATGAAATTACCAGCAATACGTTTTTATCAAAAAAATTATTACCAATAATAGATTTCTTTAATAAAATGACCAGCAATACATTTCATTTTATAGTAGACCTACTGACAATACATATTTTTTTTTAGTAAAATGCCAATCAATACAATACTAAAAAAAAGTATTAAAATACATTTTTACAGTAATATTATCAGCAATACATTTTATCATCTACACACACACACACACACACACACACTCTCTCTCTCTCTCTCTATCTCTATATATATATATATATATATATATATATATATAGTGTGTGTGTGCACACATACAGATTTACCCTGAAAATATAAAATTAGGTACAAAATAGCTGTAGTTTAAGGCATAAAAATTGCATCTAAAATATTTAGTTTTTGGCATTAAATAACCCACAGAGGTTCATATACCGCTAAACAAAATCAATCAACCGTACCACAATTTAGTTTTATAAGCAGGAATTAGTTTCTTTCTGATCAAATAGAATTTTAATAAAAAATGTATTGTCCCAACAACATCGCAAATTAATGTTGTGTCATCCCTGGGATAATCAATCTTAAGTCTTACACATGGCAACCTATATTTAAGGCCATGTCATTATGCATATCTCAACCAGAATGAGAGGCCTATCTTAACTCTCATTGTTCCCCACGGAGTGAAGATTTTTAGTTTCTGTTTGGGATTGTAGCTGTTCACTGCTGTAGAAATTCAAAGAAAAAAAATGTAGAGATTAAGGCATAATTAATTTGACTCAAAAAGTCAATCCTCTTTATCTTGATATATTTTTTCTTTACTAACATCTTATTACAATTAATATAAAATTTGGTGGCGCTTCAAATCCATCACTTTCCACACTGTTAACAAGTGTGTACAAAATGTTATCTGCATTTTAATCTTTGAATTAATTATCCACCTTTTAAAACAGTTTTAATGAAACAAAAACCATACTGGAAATATGAATTCTGAAAGAAAAGCATGACATTAAACAAAATAAACATGATAGTAAGATTTTTATTTTATTTTCTTGTTTAGAAATAAAGTAACTATTATTATGCTGACTTATTTTGTCAAGAATATACTTTTTATGATTATAAAGGTTCCTTGAAAAAAAAAAAAGAATCTTAAAAATGCATTGTTTAGCAGCAGTTAATGTTTTGTACACCTCATTTACTATACCTAAAAATATTGTGTTAAACTTATTTAATTATGCTATTAACTTCACATGACACTCTTACGTGATTTTTCATTAATTTTGTCATAAAATATGTTTATTATATTTTATGTTCTAACAGTAAACTAAAATTCAACATGCTATTTTTAAATACTTTTTTAGAAAGAAAGACAAATTACTCAAAAATTAAATTTTATCAATATATTGCCTATTTTCCAAGCGTAGCTTAAATGTGGCACAAAGCCGAAAGTATGGGGCACCCAGTGAGGATCAAACTCACTACTCATTCGTAATTGTGTTAGTGAGGCAAGCTTGCTAACCATTACACCGCCTCAGGGTGCCCTAATTTTATCAATATATTTGTTATGAATAATAATATATGGAAAAATATTAACTTTATGTAGCAAATAGCATTTTTTAAATAAAATTTTCAGTGTAAAATCAGAATCTAAGCATTTTCAGAAGAAAAATCTGTTAAAAATTAAGCATAAAACCTAAAATTCTCTTTCTTTGAAGAGACTAACATTTCTAATTAGAAAGGCTATAAAAATGAGATTTATAAAAAGTGTTTCTTAAAATCAAGTAAAAATAAAATATTTTGGTATCGGAAGCATAACAAAAATTCAAACTTTTTTTAATTTGTTTGAAACAAATTGCTTAAAAATAAAGTGTATTTGCTTTTTTTTTTTTTTTTTTGTAGAGAAGATTAACTTTAAGTGAATTTTGTTCCAGCAAAACGTTTGTTTTTGCAATAAACATAAAATGATATAGCAAGTCTAAATGACAAATATTTTCATGGCAACTGTTCTGATAAGCTATCTTCCCCCGACTACATGAATTTAAGCGTGCTACTGGATTGGCAGCTAGGTCTCGCACTTTTCCTCTTGAAATAGTTAAATGCAACCACCACTTGTACTACAACAGTTTCTTTTTTCATACTTTCCAACAGTGGAACTCCCTTTCTCCTTACTTGCTTCCCTGATAAGTACAATCTTCAAAGATTGCAACATCAATCGCTATCTTCTGTTGCCTTGATCCATGTTCTTTTATATTAAGCGTATGGTGGCAGAACAAAGAAAACACGACAGGTTTAAGAAATAAATAACTGTATTAACAAAAAAAATACAACAATGGTGAAATGGTTTGAATGTCTCTCGTTGAAAGATGAGATAAGTCATCCGCAGAAGCGTATGGTAGGAGATGGATGGTGAGTCATGATTTACTGTAGCAACAGCCTTTGGCAAGTTGTTATTGGAGATGAGAGGGCAGGTGTGGAGGTGGCGTTGCAACAAACATGTGAACCCTGGCTGTTGTACCGACCATCTGACAAGATGTCCCTTTCATGGGCTTTTATGTCCTTTTCCTAGGCTCAGATCAGCTTCAATTTTTTTATTTCATTTCTTTAGGCAGGAGTGGGTGCTATTGGGTAAAAAATTTGGCTTGTATGTTTTTTGGATACAAGAGAAAAGCGGAAGGTGCGTGCAGAGCCAATGTGCACTTGACAGAATTTTTAGTTCAGTCTTCGGTCTCGGTGTGTTCACATCTGGCCAGTGGTGGGAATTTGTGTGACATGAATCAAAAGAAGATTATAACATCCTTGCATCTTGAAGCATGCATTGGGCCTTCATATTTATTGTAAGATAGATGGTTTGTTACATAATGCCTTTTCAGGTTGTACTCTTTTGGTGTGGCGAAGGAGTTGTTGCAAATTAATTTATTTTTAATTCACAGTTGTGTAAAAATAATATAATTCCCACTTTTCTTGAAACACTTGTCCTTCTTTGTTCAATTTCCTTTTTCTTTTAGCTGGAGGATCACTAGCCATTTTAGGGTTGAAATAGTAGGAAAAAAAACAATTTTCAAAATTGATGATGTGGAATCTGAAAAATTACTGTTACATTTAAACTACAGCTAACAGTAAAAAGAGATAAAGTAATTTTGATAACACCTCTAAAACTTTTTTTAGCTGACATTTTACCTTTAAAAGCAAAAACTTTTAAAATTAAGAAAGAAAGTTTCCTGTTTACAGCTGCCATATTGTTTTTGTTGTGTGATGCCTGGTGGCATGGTTACTACAGAGAATTTGTTCCCATGCTATTTTCTTACCCATCAAGAATATCAAACAATTTTTAAAATAATAGTTTAGTACAATACTAATTTAAAGTTTGTCAATAATATTAAAATTATTTAAATAAATTTATGCAGTAAATGGTATTCGTATTTGACAGCATATAAGACACACCCCAATTTCAGCAGGGAAAATCAAGAAAAAAATTAGTAATTAGTAAAATTATTAGTAAATGGTACAGCCTAGGCTATATTTATGAGGTATTATTTTGGTTAAACAAGCCATCATTACAATTAAATGAAAAATAATAGGAAATAAAGAACACGAGTCTATAAAAACTTTTATATCCAAAGGTAAAAAAATCAAAATAAAATCAAGCAATTATTACAATTGATCAAAACAGAACAGTTGCCATTAAAATTTTATTAATCTTCAAATCCATAAAATTTGTTGCCTTCATTATCAAATCTCTGATGCTCATTTTCAATACTACTATCATCGTTGTTAAATAATGCGTCATCTTCTGTTTCTTCATGTTTAAGTCTAAGCTAATAGGAGTTGCTGGGTATCTAATTTTGTCCGACTATCGCAGAGTTTAAACCTACATATGGCATATAAGATGCAGGGGAATTTTAAAAGATATTTAAAAAAAGAAAAAGAAAAAAATGTGTGCCTTATATGCCATCAAATATGGTAATTTATTTTTTAAATACTGTAAATTATAAAAACTACAAAATTGGCTTTTAGATGACCAAACTAGTATTCTTTGTGCAGGCTGCATGTTTGACATGCCTGCTTTATATCTTGTTAAAAATTTTATGTTTAATATAACAGTAATATTCATCATTACAATGGTGAAATGGAAATATCTGTCATAGGAAAAAGGTTAGCAACAGAACAGCAAAGACGGCAACAACAACAAAGCCTATTTCAAGACAAAGTGAAACAAGGCATACACTTAATAGACTAAGACACCTAAGTGCTTCACATGAAAGTGTTGAACAAATATGACTGCAATCTAAAAGATCTAGGACTAAAGAAACTGATTAATTAAACAGTTCATTTTGCTCAGGAAGTAATTTTGTCTAAATGCAGATAAATAATTTCTTTATATAGATTATTAAAATGATTAAGGGAAGTAATCACTCATGAATTTACTAACTTAAGTTGGTTTACCTCCCTTCCTACTACAGATGGGACAGGAAACATGAATAAATATACATTGATAATTATTATATTGCTGTAGCATACATCACATGAATACAGTAGTAAATACTGTATGTTGCTCTGCAGTTGGAGATTTATTGTGGAATTCACTTGGTGCACTTCTAGCAGTTGACTACTACTTCTACGTGCCACTGGTGAATCTTATATGTGTTGTTCTTGTTCTAAGTATTATTGTTCATTACCAACCTTCGTTTAACTATTCTATTCAGTAACCTTCTCTAGGTTACAACATATATGTTTTGTAGATTATTGTGTGTGAATTAATGTATATGTGTATATACATGCACAGATGGAAAAGGAATAGAAATCAACACTGTATGATAATCATCATTATATCTACACATGCTCTATCTTTAATACTGAGTACTCTTTCTCCAGAAATATAGCAAATTTTAAACATAAATATAAGACAAAGGAAAGCTTTTCTTTACCAAGGTGTTTTGTCCCTGAAGTTTTTATTTTCCAACTTGTATTTATAAGCAGAAGTGGAGCCATAAATAGTTACATTTTCAGATTTGGAATTTAAGAATACTCTAAAATATTCTTAAAGATAACTGTATAAGGAAAGGTAAACTATGACTGATGCTAAATGATATAATTTAATATAGGTATCTCCAGTAATTTGCTGAAAAAAAGAGCATGCCATGATGAAAAAATGCCCCAAACTTGATAGAAACAAAGTTCAGCATTAAAATATTTGCTATTATTAAGAGGAAAGACCAAAGGAGTTTTTGATTACTTAATTAAATTTTTTAATCCCTTTTTAGCACATTCGAAATTTTGGCTAAAAATCTTGTTTTTCTTGTGGGCCAAAGATTAGTATAGAAAATTTTAGCATCTTTTTGCATTGAAAAACACACTGATTTGGAAATTCTTGCAAAAATCAAATAATTATCAGATTATAATAAAACTTTCAGGACTTATTCACAAATGAATTGAATTATTTCAGAAATTTAAAAAAAATATTTGTTTTTTTTTACATCTGTTCACCCTGCCCCCACCCCTTTAATTTTATAAAATTCCAAGAAATTAAGATTTCAAATCCTTCATATTTATATTACTTAAAAGCAGCATTCTTTGGAAAATTTAAATCAATTTTTTTTTTTTTTTTTTTTGTAAACACCATTTACCAGAATAAAAATAAAATAAAAAATGCAATAAAACTAAGACATTATTTAATTAGAAAAGATTTTAATTACTTTTATAAATAAGATATATCAAGGACACTATTGTTTTAAGAAAAAAATTTTCAATGAATAATAAATTTTTACAAGAATTGATTTCTTTTTTTTTTTTTTTTTTTTTTTAATTTTAATTTGAATAATTTATTAAGTTTTTAAATCTTAAAATTCTGTATTAATTTTGTTATGGTGACCTATCTACATTAGAATGAACTCTTCCTCCTTCATAAATACTAACCTGTGAGACTTCCTAAGGGAGGCAGTTGGGATGCAGTGTAACCTGATAATTCAGACAGACACTTCTATCTGCTGACCAATAACACTCTTATATTGTATACATGTTCTGTTATTTCAATACACTTGTTCAACCTATTTTCTTCTTTCCATGTCTTTCTTCCTGGCCCCTAACAGGCCACAACAAATTTCACCCTTTTAGATTATATTATCATTAAGTAATGACTATATTAATAATAATACTAACTGAAAAGCTTAGTACAATTCATCACACACCAATATTTTTGAAAGAATTTATAATTTTTTGTATGTTTATAAATGTGCCAATTTTTGTAGATATGGATACTCATACATGACATTATCAGAAAATAAGTAATAGTAAATTTATAGCCAAAGTATTTAGATTCAATAAGATTACTGAGTACTTAAAAAATTATATAAAAAAGCCACTCCTGTTATATTCTTCAATTATTTTTTTACAGATAAAAGCCTATAGAAAAACACATAAACAGCCATCTGTCAATATGTCAACATCTCAAATAAACAGCTACTGCCATGAAAAAAAAATGCATTTCTGCAATATTTTAAATTTAAAGTAAATGATATTTTTCAAATTGGATTAATTATACTTTAAATCAGAATATTTATGGGTGAGTGCTCAGTATCAGATATAACATTTGTAGACAGTATGTGCATAGAAATTGATGCTGCATGATGACTCAGTTTTCAATTTTGAAGATGCCGTTTGTGAGAGAACTTTTTGTATTTTTAATTTTTCAATTTCTATTTTCTTCAGTTATCAGTCCCAGTCTGAAGTGGAGATAATTTTTCTCTGTATCTTTCATATATAGATTGGTTTATCCAGTTACAGTTATGTGCCATGCATCATACACGCTTAGGCGATCATGTATCTTTCGATACATGACTAATGAGGCAGATTTTTTTTCCCCTGCAGTAGGTTGCCATTTCTTTCTGCAGTAGACCAATTGACATCCAAGACTATAGAACCCAGTCTGTCCTGCTATTTGCCCATGGCTGGGGGGGGGAGAGAAGAAGAGGATTCATACCTTTCCCAAAAGTATTAGCATGTAAGTGAATGTAATGGATTCGACTGGAATTCGAACTCGGCTCTCCAATTTCTCACTCTGAGCCGCTATCCATTATTCCACCATCCCTTCTTGGTTTATTCACAGGAGAGAAATATTTAATTTTGCAACTGTATTAGTTATATGTGCATGAATAACCTAAGATTTTTGTCTATGTATCTTATGGCCATATCATGTCAAAACATCAGTTCTCATCCAATCACTGAAGTTAAGCAACATCAAGATTAGTCAGTCCCTAGATGGGTGTCCACTTGGGAATACCAGTTGCTGTAAATTTGGATGTGTGGGTGGTATAATGGATAACAGCCCCAAATGAGAAATCAGAGAGCCAAGCGCAAATTCTAGTCGAGTTTGTTATATTTACTTACATGCAAATAACCTTGGGAAAGGTTTGAATTCACCTCTCCTCTCCACAGTTATGGGTCAAATAGTTGGAAAATCATTATCATCTCTAAAAAAGTTATACAATACTCACAGAAAGAAAAAGAATTACAATCCAAAAGTATGTTTCGGCTTTGAATAACCTACAAAAGGTTGATCAAAGTCTATATAATTAACTCTATCGTCACATGTTACAAAGAATTCTGCTCTTAAAAAGTAAAAATTGTGACACAGAATGAAAAGAAATAAAAAGCAATATATCAATAGCTTGGTCTTCCCTACTTGTGATGTATTCTATTGTTATAACACAATGTATGTATGTTTTTTTACCTACTGCCACCTAGTAATGCTTCTTTTTACCATAACAATGGCATGTTTCATTATCTCAAATAGTGTGGTATGGTTATATGCATGACCAATAAATATATAGTCACTTTGTTTTATATTATAGATTTTGGGTTTTTTTTGTCATCACAAAATCACTTACTTTTTCTTTTTCAATTAACAGGTAATTTCGACCTCCTTGTCTATACTCATAAAGATGTAGAGTCTCCTGATACCTGGGATGAAACTGGGCCACAGTTTATTGCCAACTCTGACCAGGTCCGATTGCGTTCTTTTACAACAACTATCCACAAAGTGGACACTTGTGTGTCCTACAAGAAAACTGGTTAAACTCTTCAAAATTGCTAACACCAAAATGTACCTATTGCCTTTTTATGTCTTTGTGTCTTCCGGAACTATTATGTCCCTGTAAATATATACCTTCATATAATTTGTACTTTTTCCATTTGTATATTTTAAGCAATTCAGTATTTCTTTTGATGTTATTTTTTATTCGATATAGTGATAATAAGGTTGGTGTTTAAATCCAAACCTCTTAACAAGGTTCTATTTTTATTTTTTTATTTTTTTTTTATCATTTCTGACGATATGAAGCTCTTCAGTTTTATCAAAGAAAGGCTGAACTAATCAAAAATTTTAGACAGCTTACTTGAGTCTCATTTTAATGGGAGCAACATGAGAATGATGTTTTGTTTTTTTTTTAACTTTTTTTTTAATTGATGTGACCAATAAATTGAAAAATGGTTTGAAATTTCTGTAATGTCCCCCCAAAAAAATTTAAACATCCTCCTAGTTGACCTAAATTTTAAAATATAGATTTATTTTTTTCTGAAATTGTCTCTGAGTCATGGTGGCTTTATTTCTTTTTGTAACCTTATTTTTGTACTTTTTTTTTTTTTTTTTTTTTGTACAGACCAGATTACAGAAGCAGAAAACCTTCGTTGTTCCACCTGTAGTGCTTGTTAATATTGGCTACAATTTGTTTTAAAATTTAAAAGAAATCAATTTTGCAGGTATCAGATACAAAATCTACCTAACCACATCACACAATTTGATTTTTTTTTGTATAAAGTGCTTCTCAAAAGATTTGGAAATTTGATATTTTTAAAAAAAAAAAAAAAAAAAAAAGCATTGTAACTATTTACACTATTTACATTGTTCGGACTGTTGCCATATCCACAACATTTTGGCTGTTGTAGTCTCTGGCCTTCTTCAGGTGATAATATGTTGGAATTTCAAACTGAATCCTTTTCATCTATGGGGTAGATTGTTTTATTTCCATATGCCATACTTTTCTCACTTTGGGTATTACAGTAAGCTACATCTGGCAGCAAGGCCTCTGTTCAGGAGATTGGAGGTTTTGAAGAATGTGGAACCACCTCTTAATTGCTGTTGTCCCCAGGTCCACTCAGACCCGGGGTGGTAGCACCTGTTAGGGTCCCACCTATGGTCAAATAGTGAACTTCCAAACAAAAATCAGTACATTTTTTTTTTTTTTTTTTTTTTTTTTATAATAAAATGAGCAACAATACATTTTTATAGCAAAATGACAATCAATGCAACGCTAAAAAAAAATTATAAAAATACATTTTTATAGTAAAAATTGCCAATACATTTCATGATCTACAAACTATATATCTAAAAAAAAAAAAAATACCTTGAAAAGTATAAAATTATATAAAAAATATATTCAATAGAAGCTATAAAATTGCATTCAAAATATTTACATTTCAGCATTAAATAACCTATGAAGATTGATATGCTGTTAAACAAAATCAGCAACATGCCTTTTCTGGATGTCTCAGTTTTAGTTAATTCCCTTTAGTAAGGTATGAATCCTCTTCTTCTCCCCCCAGCTATGGGTAAATAGCAGGACAGACCAGATTTTATAGCCTTGGATGTAAACTGGTCTACCGCAGAAAAAAATGGTAACCTACTGCGGGGGAAAAAAAAATCTGCTTCATCAGTCATGTATCGAAAGATACATGATCACCTAAGCATGTATCATGCATGGCACATAACTGACTGAACTCAACTCTATAAGTTTTTGTTCACCTCAGCTGTGGCCAGACAAGCAAACAACTCTTTGGATCAAATCACTTTTGGGATTACTTCAACCAACACTTTTATCCACTAGGCTATGTGTCCCAGATTCTACTTTCAACTTTAAAGTAGAACCATTGGCTCACAAGAGGTAACAACAAGTCAGTACTACAATACAATACGCAAATTTGCCAAATATTTGTTTGCTCATTGTGTGTGTGTGTGTGTGTGTGTACATTCAAAATTTGGTATATTTATAAAGAAAGAGTACTTAATATCAGAGATAAAAGTGTTTATTGATATAAACAGTGGGGACATATGAATCAACATTGCATGGTTACCGTCAGTTTCAGTGAGATTTGAAGATTCCATTAAAGCATGAAACTGACAATTACTATTCAGTGTTGATATCTCTCTCTCTCTCTCTCTATATATATATATATATATATATATATATATATATATATATATATATATATATATATATATATATATATATATATTATGACATTTTTTATGTTTATACATTCTTTTTATAGATACAAATGTTATAGACAAGCGTATGGTTGCAAGAAAGAAATACGACAACAGTAGAAATAGATTTACATGGTTTATTTCAACAGGAACGTAAGGGTTTAGGACAGCTACCTTGGTGTGGTAAAGTTCATAAGCCGGCTTTCGGATCTAGGTCGATCTCTCATAGTAGTTCACACATGTTGACGGTGGTTGACGCTCTCCTGCTGACAGCTGCTAAACGTGACCGGTCTCCTTTGTGGCCACCTGTTGACTGCTGCTGAACTTCCCTGTGACCCCTTTTATATCGTTTTTTTATGGCTTAACAGGCTCGAGAAACGAAGCAAGTATAATTAGAAGGGAAGCATTTTATTGGACGAAAAATAGAGCACTTTAATTATTATTTTATTTTTCGACCGGAACACATGTGTCGGAAACATTTGTAAAGAAAGTTAATGGTCATTTTGTGACGGGGCTTTGTCCCGTTCACATCCGGTTCTCGCTCTTGAGTATTTGCCTGTAAATCAGCCGAGATATGTCTTATTTTATTTTATAACAAAGCTCCCCCAGATCTCGGTCTCATTTACAGTGAGCATTATTCGTGTATATTTGGGTGATTAATTCATGATAAAGTCTCTGAAGCGTGTGGGAAGTTGTCCTCATGTTCTTCTTATTGGCATCTGTTTTGGTATTGGGTTATTTGCTGAATTATGTGTCCCCGAGGGATGTGGAGGAGAATGATCCTGGTGACTGTTACATGGTGGAGGCAGAGGGATTGTATTAGAAAGATGTGTTGCGCATGGAGCCAGTTGTCGGATATGTGCACGGTGAATCCAGATTGTATCACCATCATCGTTTTGCACCTGACACATCATATTGTTCGTTTTTATAATTGTGTAATTTCCTATCCAGGGCAGATGAGAGGATTGGGCAACAGTTGAGTGTGGCCGATGAAGTAAAACCTTGTCGCCTACTTGTATTGGGTCCTTGTATATGAGGCAATTTAAGTTAGTCTCAAGTTTGTGGTCAGCTTCATCGTTGGCCAGGGTGACGTGGTGGTGAACCTGCTTTAGCAGGGCATTAACTTGCATTCCATATGCTCCAGGATCGCCGCCAGGATTTCTTTTTTCTGTGTAGTGTAGGTAGGCCGATGTTGGGGTGACGGCCGGTAATGGCATAATGCGGGGAGACACCGTGGCGCTGTTGATCATGGTATTCATAGACGAAACGACAGATTCTAGGACGTCTGTCCATTCACGGTTCCTGTCTTCGCATAACATATAAAGTGCGTTCTTCATCGTGCGATGTTGTCAATCGATATTTCCTGAGGTTTGCGGGCGCCAAGGACAGTGAAGTTCTTGCGTGATTGACATCTGGTTACAGAATTGTCGATAGACTTCTCCAGTGAAGTGTGTGCCTCGATCAGAGGATACTATGCGTGGAATCTCTCTGTGTCGAAGGAAGAAATGGTACAATCCGCGGACGGCGTCGTTAGCACGGTCTCTCGTGCATGGTATGGCTGTAAAATGTCGGCTGAAGCTATCCAAGATGGTTAGGATGTAACGTTTTCCCTTTGAGTTGGGCATTGTGACAAAGTCTATAAAGACAAGATCGAATAATCTCTTTCCTCGTTTGCAGTGGCCAATGGACCAGTGGGTACGTCTACCGTAGTTTCCCTTGCACTTAGCACACGGTAAAGAATCATATAGGCCTTGATGTCGCGGTTTTTGAATTCCCACCAGTACCTGAAAGGATTTCTGATAATGGGTGACACCTGAGTGGTTGTTGCCCTCGTATTGCCTGGTAGAGGTATCTGGGTTGTAGTTTGTATGGTACAACCAATCTTGGAGAGTGTTTACTGTCTCTTATCAAAACGGAGGTGCCTGGTTCTAGAAAAAATTGGTGGAAATGTTTTTTGAAAAGCGTAGCTCGGTGGTCGTCAGGATCTATATGAGGTTCACTTGGGGTGGGTGACTGGAGAGCGCTGATGATCTTTGCCAGGGCGTCGTCCTTCTGTTGTTCGTCTGCGATGTGCCGAGGTGGTTGCAGATTCTCTCAGTGGGGATGGTGGTCGTGGAGTGGTAGGCGAAGAATGCGTTGGTGACGTGCTTGTGGGTGCGGGCGTTTTGTGGTGTGTGAGTTTTGGGAATGAGCTGTAAACCGTTAAACTCGCCGAGGCACCAAGATGGGATGTATACGCCGGAGGTCTGAACCGCTTACCTCGAATGTCTTGCCTGCCGGTGTAGGGTCGTTTCGGGGCTTTCGTTTTCTTATGTCCGCAGCTTCTGCTGAGCATGTCAGCCCATACATTTGATTTGCCTTCAACATATTCCAAGACAATTTATAAACATGAAATTTCTTCTTGCCATCGTCGATTTTTTGGCATTATTGAACTCTCGTTGGTCCAGATATGTCAGCAATCTGTGGTCGGTGAAGATGACGAAGGGGATTCGTTACGGAGGAAATAATCAAATTTCAATATTGCCCACTTTATTGCATATGCATCTCTTTCCGTCAGGACCAGTTCTGTTCCGTGGAGTTAAATGTATGGGAAGCGACCGCTATGATATCTTTCTTCCTGTTGTCGGCTTCTTGCATTAAGATTGCTCCACATGCGACGTCACTGGTGTCAGTGGTGAGTGTGAAAAGTTTGGAGAAATCTGGAAACGAGATGACGGGTGGTGAAGAGAGACGGTCCTTGATTTTTTTGAAGGCTCTGTCAGCATTTTGCATCCAGACAAACGGTTTATTAACCTTGTTGAGTTCGTGTATGG